AAAAACAATTATTGTGCAAGAATTGGTTCTCGACCATATGCCAACTGTAATGGCGAGTATGTATGGTATGCACTTGGTCTTATACGAATTAGATCATCTGCATGTAGAATAACATGCCCCCATACTGAAGTGAGGATTTTTGTCCTCATTATCAATGGTCTAGCTATAAGCTGCAGTCGTTTAATCAATGATTCTGCTAGACCATTTTGAGTGTGAACACGTGCCATTGGATGTTCAACATCAATTCCCACTGCCATACAATAACCATTAAATGCTTGAGATGTAAACTCACCAGCATTGTCAAGTCTGACTCTTTTGATAATATAATCTGGGAATTGAGCCCTTAATTCAATAAGTTGGGCGAGTAATTTAGAAAATGCCACATTTCTAGTGGATAACAAACTCACGTGAGACCATACTAGAGGCATCAATTAACACCATAAATTATCTGAATGGACCACAAGGTGGATGAATAGGTCCACATATATCACCATGAATCCTTTCCAAAAATAATGGTGATTCATGTCCGACTTTAGTATGTGATGGTCTCATTATCAATTTTCCTTGAGAACATGAGGCACATGTCAATTCACGTGTTTGTAATATCCTTTGATTTTCAATGGATAGCCACTAGAATTTTCAATAATTCTTCGCACCATTATCGAGCCAGGGTGACAAAGTCGATCATGCCAAAGTTTAAACATCTCATTCGATTTTGAATTTGTTGCAGCCTAAGCTTCGATTATATTAATCCGGGTGTAATATAAACCCGAGGATAAAGTGGGTAATCTCTCCAAAACACATTTATTTCCCGCAAAATTTGAGGTAATAAAAAGATATTCATCTCTGCCTTTATTCATTGTCTCAATGTGATATTCGTTCATACGTATATCTTTAAAGCTCAACAAATTTCTTGTTGATTTTGGGAAGAATAGCGCATCATTTTACTATCAATTTTGTACCTCCCATCATAAAAAATATGGCTTTTCCAGAACCCTCAAATTATCTTTGCACTTTCGGATATCGTGTTTACTTTTACTTTATTTAACTTCAAGTTAACGAAATATTTTTTGTCCTTGAGTACAGTATGAATAGTGGCACAATCTATAAGATATATATCTTCATTTTGGATTCGAGTCTGATCCATGATCTAAAAGAAAACAACATTTATTATTGATCAATATTCGAAATACAGATAAAGTAGTTCACACACCAATACAATAAAACTCAGAAAGCAAAAAAAAACATGATCATCAGTTATTTTCTTGGTCATTTCCAGCTCTGTCTTCAAATGCCGCATCGACAAAATCCAGTTTCAATATGTCTTCGACGCCATAGTCATCATCCACATGTGTTGCATCATTTTCCGAGGATTCCCCAACCATAAAATTAGTTTCTATATTCTTATCTTTTGATTTCTGGGAATCTTTATCATTATCAACAACGTGTCTCGGAGCACGACAATTTCGTGGCTAATGTCCCTTTCTTCCACATCGATAACATGCCTTTTCATCACTATTTTTTGTCACATTATTCTGTTCAGATTGTGGCTGAAAATTTCTCCCCCTTCCATAGTTACGGCCTTGTCCACGATTATATCCTCGGCCCGAGTTATACCCTCGGTGAAATCTGTGGCCTCGGCCAGATCGGCAATCTGGACCATATCCATGGCCACGTCCACGACCACGGCCACGCTCCGAGGTATATCCACGCACATTTGTTTGGCTGTTTTCATTTTCCGGTTCCCTGTCTAGATATTACAACATTTATTTCAGGGACCGTAGTAAACCCCGTGGGTCTAGATTCATGGTTTTTCATCAACAGCTCATTATTTTGTTCAGCTAGCAACAAGCAAGAAATCAACTCAGAATATTTGACAAAGCCTTTTGCTCTGTATTGTTGTTGCAAAAGTACGTTTGAAGCGTGGAATGTGGACAACTTTTTTTTAGCATATCGTAATCAGTTATGTTTTCCCCGCATAATTTTAATACCGAGCAAATGTCGAACATTGTTGAATTGAACTCGTTTACAGTTTTAAAATCATGGAAGCGTAAGTGCATCCATTCATAACGAGCCCGAGGGAGAATTATTGTTTTTTGATGATCATACATTTCTTTCAAGGCTTTCCAAAGATTCGCAGGATCTTTCACAGTTAAGTATTCATTTTTCAATCCCTCATTCAAATGATGTCGTAGAATATCATTGCTTTAGCTTTATCTTGTATTGATGAATTATTTGGGGAGATTATTGTTTCTCCCAATTCCCGTGCGGCCAAATGAATTTCGGCATCTAGTGTCCATGAAATATAATTTTTTTCTCGAGATATCAAGAGCCTCAAATTCGAGTTTGACCAGATTTGTCATGATAACTATATAATAAAACATCGATGCTTAGATTTGAGAAAATTACATATACAATCATTCATTCTTCAAAACGATCAGAAGAGCAAACAAAAAAAAATTATACAAAAACCTAATACATAAAATATAAATTCTGCAGTATGATACAACGTGGTGAAAATTCCTAAAGTGTATATAATAACCAATAGAATGATAATTATAAATAATAGATTAAATAATTTTTTTCTTTTGAGGGGAATGTATTTTAGTATTTTGGAATGACTGTTAAATATATAAAGTGTAGTGTTATATATATATATATATATATATATATATATATATATATATATTGATAACTAGCCGTTGCAATAGAGTCGTTGGAAATAAAATAATGATATAATATTTGTTAGTTAATGATTCATAATTATAAAATTCTAATTAATCATGTATATTACCTTAAAAATTCTCTGAGTCACTACGTGAACAATTTAGTGCATATAAGTAACAAAACAAATAAAAATGTCACTCCACACTACTCGATAAATCTTTCGGTGGGTACAAGAATAAACAGTTCTAAATTTCACGTCACATTACTGGGTAAACCATTTTGTGGGTGTTAAGTATAAATAATAATATTATGTACATTTATTTTCTCGTAATCAGTAGTAATTTATAAGCAAATTTAATAATATCATCTTACCACATATTATTGACTATGTCATAGCCTTACTTGCCAATAATAATGCTAATATGTAAATTAGTATAATGTCATATTTCGTATATTCGTACCACATATTCTTGACTATGACATAGTCTTACTTGTAAAAAATAATGGTAATATGTGGAATAGTAAAATATACTAATTTTATGTAATATATATATATAATTAGTATATTCCTACATTACTGATCGGGTAGAGCGCTCGTGTTGATAACGTGTTATAAAAAGGAAAAGATAGAGAACACAAAATAGAAACTGAATATAAATTATACTGAATCTTTCTTTCTTTCTTCTGAATGTGTATTCCTTCATTTCATTTGGTGTGCCTTTTATAGGCAAATTCTACCGACACCATTCATACAAATACACACCCCATACCTATTACTATTCACTTCACTATTCATGAATAGTGGTACCAGGGGCGGATCCAAAGCCCCTTCAAGTGGGGCCTAGGCCCCACCTAGAATTTTAAGTTTTTTTATAATATATATTGTTAAGAAAATAGGTATAAATTAAGTAACTTTACAAAAATAATCTATAAATGAAATTGTTTATTAATTAGGTTTTTTTTACTCTTTTTCTCTTACTAAATTTTCTTATTGCAATCTCTTATTTATCTGTTGTATTTTAAATAAATTTATCATGACGTTGCATGCTACTATAATAAATATAAAAAATTCTTTGATCTAACATATTGAAAAATATTATTTCTCCTACCCACCACGAGTTTTAAACATTTAAAAATTGATTAATCATGATATCTTGTGTATATACCACTTAATGTGTTTACAGTTGGTAGATGAATAATTTAATTTGTATTGATAATAACACATTTTAAGTCATTAGAATGGATAATAATACTGAAATATATAAATTGTAGGGTGTTTTAATATTTCATTTTGAATTATTAAAAAAATTAAATTTATATGTAATTGTAATTTTGTATGTCTCATCTTGTGCCATTTTTTTTTTTTTTTCGTTTTTTCAGTTACCAAAAAATTTTGGCCCCACCTCACTCAATTTGCTAGATCCGCCCCTGAGTGGTACATTCCACTTGTTCATAATAGCTATTGATTTTTTTGGGAATCAAATACAAAAAATAATTGGAATAATCCACATAAATAGGGATTCTTTTCAAAAAATTATAAAGGTTTTGTATGGAGATAATTATAGGCATTTAGTTAAAACTTTATTAATTATGTTATTTTTAGTACTGTAATTAATGATTTTGGCGGAAAATTGTTTTTAAATTTGTAAAAACATTATTCTTTTTATATAATGAAAGATATATATTATAAATATACTGGATTTTTTTTTTTTTTTTTTTAATACTACATCATATGTTTAACTACATGCTAGCGTAACTACCGAAAATCCCACTTATTAAGTAAGTAGCTTACAAATATTCCCTCCTATTAGTTTACTTTCAAACATAATATGATGAATTGGTTCGAATTATTTATTATTTCTAAAAGTTTTGAGTATATTTAGGAGTATTTAATTAACCATTCGTAATCTCACGGGTTGACCCACTACACCCAAAGGGCCACAATTCCTATCTCCCCATATATCTCCTTTTGAAAATATGTACGATCTATAACTTTAAAAGATAGTAGCACCATTAATTACTTCTAGTATGTGAATGTTGAAAACACGTAACAGGAGCCTAGGCAAATATAAATATATTCAATAATTAGTATAAATATATTAGTACTATTAACTATATAATTATGTTGGACAAAAAACACAAGAAAAACATGGCAGCCCCTATATATATATATATTCTTTCCCAACAATGGTCTTCATAATATCTGAACCTTTTTTCATCACTTTTCCATTTCTATTCTCATCTATACCTTTTTTTCCAGTAATTTGCTCATACAATCTATGTGCCAAACAAGAATATATTAAAAAAAAAATTAAAGAATTGAAGAAGTAAGAATGGAGGGAAGCAGCTGCGACGAGAGCACGATGAGCGACTCCCCATCGCTGTGCCGTGTGGGGATGAATGCATACATGACGGAGTCCGGGCGGAAGTTGCCGTCGTCCCATTTCAAGGGAGTGGTCCCACAGCCCAACGGGCGGTGGGGCGCCCAGATCTACGAGAAGCACAAGCGTGTTTGGCTCGGCACTTTCAACACCGAGGACGATGCCGCCCGCGTCTACGACACCGCCGCCCTCCGCTTCCGAGGCCGCGACGCCGTCACCAACTTCCGCCGTACGCCCGCGGACTCCGTGGAGGAGACCTTCCTGGCGTCCCGCTCCAAGGCCGAGGTCGTCGACATGCTCCGCAAGCACACCTACGCGGACGAGCTCGAGCAGTGCCGCCGCCACGGGGCCTTCCACCGGCCCCGCAGAGTCCACTCCGGCCCCCGCGACTACCTCTTCGAGAAGGTCATGACTCCCAGCGACGTCGGCAAGCTCAACCGCCTAGTCATCCCCAAGGAACATGCCGAGAAGCACTTCCCCCTCGAAAACAACCACAGTTCCAAGGGGGTTCTGTTGAATTTCGCGGATGGAGACGGGAGGGTGTGGCGGTTCAGGTACTCGTACTGGAACAGCAGCCAGAGCTACGTGCTGACCAAAGGCTGGAGCTGCTTCGTCAAGGAGAAGAATATTCAGGCCGGGGACGTTGTAGCATTCCAGAGGTCGGAGGGTCAGCTGTACATCGACTTTAAGCCTAAAACCTGTCCTGGCTCAGGGTCGGGACTGAGATCGGGCTTGGGATCGGGACCGGGATCGGGATCGGGGTCGAGATCGGATAACGTAGTAAGGCTGTTTGGAGTGGACATTTTCCAGGTAAATCGAGGTGGGCCGGCGAGGAGGGATGATGATGATGACGATGATGATGATTGTATGGTGGGTTTGGAGTTGGGGTTTCTGAGGTTGAGTCCCAGCAAGAGACAAAGGTTTATTGATGCCTTGTGAATTTATCATTATTATTATTATTATTATAATTTAATAAGGATATATTTATTTTTGTTCTAATTCCTTTTTTTCGTCTGTAGAATTTTTATATTTATGTTCAAGGGGTTACACACTTGTACAGTTATATATAAACCGATGAAACTGAAGAGCCTGCTAGGTGGTGAAATCTTGAATCACCCTGAAGAAAAAAAGGGAAAATAAAATCATATGCGAGCAATGTTGTTTTCTTTATTTTAGTTTCTTTTAGATGACATTCATCGAAATAGTCAATAAATGAAGTAGAACAAACAAGAAATTCCATTTTCTTTTGCAGCCATAATTTTCCGATATATTGATTAGTGTGTCTTTTTTTTTTTTTTTGTCAAAACGATAGAGATATTATAATCAAAGGCACAAATGTGCAACTACAAACTGAGAGGACAGGTCAGAAGGTCGACTAGAACTTCAACTAGCCAAACTAGAATACAAACAGACTCAAGCTCCCCACAGGAGAATAGGATCGCCCCCCACAGGGGAATCAACACAGGGGTCAACGCCCCAGACCAAAAAGACAAGACATAAAACACTCAGGCAAGGAGCACAGACCAAAAACACTAACCTAGAACAGACTCATGCAACAACAACAGATTAGGTGTGTCTAAAATGTGTATTTTGTGCATGTCCCTTGGAAAATAATTGTAATTTGTGTGGTTTGTGTATATCAAAAAGACGGTTTAAGGAGAATGAAGAAAACAAAATAAGTCGAGACACGTAATAATTACGTTCTCCTTAAAACGAAATTGCCCCGTAAAATACTCACGTTTAACGGCAAACGCCTCCAAGATACAACGACTTTCGACTTGTATATAGTGGTACTTCAAATATACAGGCCTTCGGCGAGCAATACTAATGTTTGGAACTCTCAAGACTCAATGAAAAAATCAAAGAACACAATATGCTATATGATCTTGGAAAAATAATGCAAGAGTTCTCTAATTTTCCTATATCGAATGATTTCATGTATATGGGTATTAATAGATGTAGGATAACACCTCCAAGAGGTTTAAGTGTCAAAAGACACATTTTGAAACGTACCCGAACGAGAATGGACGCATCTAAAGGTCGAAGACATCTTATAATCACCAAAGGTTGTGACCTTTCAGTTTTCGCAGCCAGCTGCGCGCCCGTGCGCCGTGGGCTTGTACGAGCTCATACGAACTCAGAATCGAGTTACGTTTTTTCCTACTCGTCCCCAACGAACCCTTCTAGAGTTATATCATGCAATTTGCATGATCATGTCTCGTTTGGATTATATAAGCATTCTTCTAAGACATAATGGTTTACAAATTTAATAATTTGAGTTACTTAAACTCATTGTTTCAACCTTACATTTCCCCCATATATATACAACTTAGAATTAAGTTCTCATTCAGCTTAAAATGGTTTTGAGAATTTTCTAAGTCTTCGACTTATAAAAAATGGAACCGTAAAATCGGTACAAAATTAATTTTTCTTACAATCCCACACATAAGTGAAATTAATGCATGTATATCATACTTGAGAGTTCTAACGAACCATCATTGCACCAGGATAGATAGCTTGTGGCTTTGAATCATCCTTAGTTGAATACTATCGGATACACTAGTCAGTTAGTAGCGCGATGCTTTGAACTTACCGGTTGTTTGTGTGCACTAAGACAATAATACTCACAGAACAACAACTCTAACAATTTCTTGTTTTCACGTTGTGTCCATTTTGGCCTTGGACTATATCTCGGTTTAGTAACTGTTCGATTAGAGTTGCCCATTTACTTCGCATTTACAAAGGTGATTCTCCTATAAAGAGAATTCTGTATTACTCCACTAGTAGGTATAGGAATCATTGAAAGTCTTGACTTAACCTCACCACTTAGGCAGATTTTAACACGTGACGGTTCTAGAAATGAGCATACATTTTTCATGTGTTTCACTGAACTGTCAAAACTTAGTTTTCCCATTGAACCAAGGTTTCGGGATCTTCGATTCTTATAGTTGGGTTACCGTTATGACCTCGTTTGTTGTGTATTTTATTAAGCTCATTCCTCTAACCAGTTTGTACAATTTATCTCGTTTCATGCTTTATGTAAACGGATCCGTTAGGTTAATCTTTGACTTCACATAGTCAACCGACATAACCACCACACTAGATAACTTTCCTATGAAATTAAGCTTCTGACGTCTATGTCTAGGCTTACTATTCTACAAATTACTTTGTGCTCTTCAAATTGTTGATTAATGAATAATCATCACCATTAGCACAATTTATTCCACCTAGGAATATCATTTAGAAAATTTCTATGTCATTAGAACATCATTGTGGATCTAGCTTTATACTTAAATTATTTTCATGACACTACTCTACCCAAAGAAACTCTGATAGAGAGTACCTAAGTCTCGAAGTAGGAACCTTCTTTCTGTCTTGCAGCCTTCATGCTCAGTTCTATTCTCCCCCGATCTTGGAAGGCTAGCCGAGAGTGATTTTTCGGTCCAACTCATAGCCCTCCTGATTCAAGAACCTACATCCCACACGGGGAGGGAAATGCAGAGACCAATTTGGTTAGTGTTCAGTCTTCCCTTTGTCAATCATCGAAAAGAGTGAAAGAGCTGAGCCGTAAGGCGAAGAGGAGAAAATGGAGGTTCACCGATAAAAGTGAACACGTAGTCCACTTTTAGTTTTAGAGTTTTTCGTGTTCAATACTTGATTCAACGTGATTAAAATTCATCGCTCGAGTTACTCGTGAACATTCGTAGTTCATTCGCTAAAATGCAATGTTAGGGCGAGTACTATCCGAAAAGTACCTCAAGTCTCAAATTATTTAGCATACTTTAGCCGGGAAACTAATTATTCTCAAATTTTTAGCTAAGTGTAGAGTCAATTTTACATTCACTTTAGCTTGAAGTTTTATCGAACACATCTAACCTTTTCGACATACATGTGACATGATGAGATTGTGCCAAGCAATTATTTCCGGTCTCTTAGAAACTTACTCTCCAAAATTGCATTAGAATTTCACAAACTTTTAAGGTCAAAGTTTATCTTCTTAGTATTCATGAATACATCATGATTATATTCCAAGATCATCATATTGTCTACATAAGGCTTACAATCACAAAGAGTCGGAAGAACCTTCATAGACTTATATTGTCATTCAATGAATTTTGAAAAACCATTTGAAAAAAATTATTTCAACTAACTTTTCATGTCATTATTTAGGTATTTCTACCTTGGCTCGAACACCCCCACATTTTAAGGTATAGGTACGAATGCTTTTGCTGTTTTTATAACTCAAACGGAGTTTCGTATCTACCTTCATGTAGTTTTTTCCATGCCCGAATTAGAGCACCCAATAAATAAGACCAATTTTTTTTTCGTCAACCAATAGATTAAAAGTTTTACAATAATATAATGATGGCCTTTATTTAACTTATGCTAAGAATACATCATATTTCGACATACCATATTTGTCGATGATCACAAACTAATCTAAATTTGGCCTTAATCAATTAATGATCCGAAAAACTAGATTTTTATGGATGTCTTGGGAATGAAAAACATCCACGATATTCAATATTAATTCTTAACACACTACCTTGACGGTTCCTCCAACACTTGAAGCAGAGGAATTACAAAAATACTTTCTTCTGTAGTTAGGGTTGTAAGACAACATTTATAAGCGCCAATGGATCAAGTGGCTCTTATTCTTATCTGCTATAAACGTGGAATTTTAATCAAGTATGTACTTGAACCACGACGGAAAGATCGAGCTCGGACAAGTATTGTCTTGTCCTCGACATTTCGCACTATCTTTTACCCCTCTTCAAAAGTTAGTAAACTTCGGCAAGGTATCCAGGTTTATCACCATTGTAATGACATCCATTGGATTTATTGGCTTACCATCTTGGCTGCCATGAAAACGATGTTACGCTTCTTCCACGAGCTCGACTTGGACAAATTTACCCTAGCCTTTATCTAGCTCCGTTTGGCCAATACTTCAAATTTTCAATTATCTTCTTATATCCGAAGATGAACTACCAAATCATCGAGTTTTATCTTTTTGCGTTCATGCAATAGATAACTCTTGAAATCGTTCCACAAAGGAGACAACTTTTCAATAGTCACCACTAGAAAGGCTTCGTTCACAATCAATCCCTAGGCCAACATATCCTAAAGGATTATTTGAATCTCTTGTACTTGGCTAAACACTGACTTGGTGTCAACCATCAAGTACTTTAGAAATTTGCCAACGAGAAATTTCTTAATCCCGACATCTTTCGTCTTGCACTTCACCTTCAAGGAATTTTATAATTGTTTAATTGTCTTAATTGGACTATACACATTATATAGTGTATTTTCTAATCCATTAAGTAATAGATTTCTACACAAGAAACCATATGATGCCAAGAAACCAAGACCATACGTTTTTTGGACGTTTGTCTCAGTTTCGATAACGATCAAAGAGTCATCTGAAAAAACTAGAGAGGGGGAGAGTTGTGAGGTAGTAAAACATCCTTTGCTGCCACTTCTTGAAAACAGAGCCATTGAACTTCGGCGGTCTCTCGCCTTGGACAAAAGTAGCTACCATCATGGTGAATGGATTAGTAGCCAGTGTAGTGGTCGGTTGAGCATTTGAAGAAGACGTTTGGTTTCCTTCAGTTGCCATCTTATGAACTTACTAAAATTTCGTCATAAGATTGTAATTTGTGTGGTTTGTGAATAGAAAAATGACGGTTTAAGAAGAATGAAGAAAACGAAACAAAAATCAAAGTTGAGGCACGTAATAATTACGTTCTCCTTTAGACGAAATTTCCCCGTAAAATACCCACAATTAACGGCTAATGCCTTCAAAATACAACGACTTTCAACTTGTATATAGTCGTACTTGAAATATACAAGCCTTCGGCGAACAATACTAATGTTTGGAGCTCTCAAGACTATCAAAGAACACAATATGCTATATTATCTTTGAAAAATAATGCAAGAGC